TCCCGCCTCGACGCCCATCTCTGGGCCGCCCTCAATTTTGAGGTCCTCTTCAATTTCTGTAATGAAGGACAATTCATGTTATTTTGGTCGGCCTGTGCCACAAATTCAAAGATTGCTATTTAACTTGGGCTCTGCTATCTACTTTTTGTATTGCACACCATACATTGAACGAGACAGAAGTGTACCCATGTTATTGCTTCCGGTTATCACACGGCCCTTTTCCACCGCGCTTGTGCTAGTTCGGAGCCGGTACCCGGGTGAGTACCAGTTTTTTCTTTGTCCACCATGGAAATTGGCTCTCGTTCCAGCTCTGGTGCTTGAGGGCCAGCTCAATCATTTGCTGAGCCAGACTCCGGCACCAACGACCTCAGGGGGCGGGGCTATCGTGAAGATCGCAAATGTAGAGGAATGACTCCCTGGACATGTGGAAGTTTTGCATCAACTGTTGAGCAGTGAACTCTGGCACAATTGTGTCCCACCAGAAGAGCGGTCGCGGATGTGCCCAGATAGCATGCCATCTCCGACTAGCAGCCAGTCTCGTGATCATCTATATTGATTAAGACAGCGTTTGCCGGTTGCTTGTCACTGACTGTTATATACGACAAGCAAGTATAATCGATGCTATGCTAAGTTGCAGATGCTTACAGCGCATTATTATTTTTATTAGGGTGCTCGAGCACGATGATAAGAGTTTTGTGCTTGATATGGGTGAGCGAAGGGAGTGTGTTTCATTAGATAGGCTCAAACCAGCTCATTTGGTTGCGGGCGATGTGCTGTTGCCGGCCCAGGTTCCTCGCCGTGGTCGTCCTCCGAAGCCCACAGCCTCACTTCAGCGTGTCAGTGTTGAGTGTCGTTCTCCCACTCATGTCTCACCTGTTGCCTCCTGCCCGACTAGTTTCGCCTGCACCACCAAGAGACGGACTGCGTAGTCGTTGTGGTAGGCTAATTAAACCCCGTGTCATTTTGATTGTCCTTCTGGGCGTTGGGGGGTGGTGGACACTAGGACCATGTTTCTCAACCAGCAGGTATACAGTAGGGGGCGTGTTCATATGAATGTCTGGCAAATTTGTAATTGTTTCAGATCCACTCGTTGGCAGTCGTGGAATAAAGATGTGTTCACAGTCAGTCGTGTGTGCTCCTTTCAACTGGCACAATATATACTTAAAATGTCTCGGTCAATATTTCATATGGCCTAATTAGAGCTTTGAATTAGTCAAAAAGTGGTGACAACATTATTTTCAATCCATGCCAATTTTTTTTTGACAGTAGCATTTTCCCCAAAAACCTCGCACAATTCATGTCAAGTTTACATTGTTTGGACGTGAACTTGAAGTGCGATAACTCAGTCATTTATGAATATTTTTTTGACTTCCAACCACTCAAAATGTTCAGTGGCAACATGCCTATCCATACATGTGTAGATTTTAAGTTATTTACCCACACCTTAGAACAATAAAAAGTCATAAAAATGGTTGTATGAAGAGAATGAACTGTATTGTAGATATACACACACAAACATATTTGGCCAAAAACTCACAACTATGAACCATTGACAGAATGTATGCAGATAAAACAATTAACTAACAGCAATAAAAGCAATAAACAGCAACAATAGCAACAACTCATAACTTTTTTAACAGCTAGGGCATGTTTTTTTCATATGCTTAGCGCATATGGGAATCCCACATGTGGCACACTGGTTTGATGCTCTGAGTGGTGCAGGGCAAAGCCTACATTGTCGCCTTCTCTTTGCGTCATTCTGCTGTACTGCAACTGGCAGCTCACATCCAGAAGCTGCCTGTGCAGCTGGCTGTGCACACCTCTGATGCCCTCTTCTGGAGATTTCGGGCGAAACAAGGGCCTTTGCCACTTCCAGCAGAAAAAGCCGTCTTTTATACCGTTCCTGGCAGTTCCAGTCTGGGTGTATTTGTGTGTACAGCACAAAAGCATTGAATGCTGATATGTCTATCATGTGCTGGAAAAGGCACATGGGCCATCTCTGCGCCCGCTGCCGGCATGAATAAGTGGCACATGCCTGCAAAAAACAAACAAAAAAAACATCAGCTTTGAAATAAATCTTTGAAAAAGACAGTACTTAGGTTTACCTGGATCAGGTGATCCGCCGCTCCCTTGCAGTTATTGTAATCATGGATCATCCTTGGTTTTGGTTTCAATCCCTTCACCACCTCCGGATCACGGTGCTTTGTGCTCATCAATAGCACAACTTTGCATTTTTTGGGGATGTAAGACACTAAAGTGCACCCCTTTGTGAAGGCAAATAGGCTGAATGAAAACAAATAAAATCCAAGTTTATTCATATAGCACTTTTTATACATAAAAATGCAGCACAAAGTCTAGATGATAATACGACATAAAACCCACCTTGAAAGTGGCTGCCTGGTGAATGACCTCAGGAGCAATGGTGGAAGTTCCCCTTTATTTTTGTGAAGAGTGCCCACCAACGTGATCCTTTTTTTTTTCAGCTCTGCAGCCAGGGGGAAGGATGTAAACATTTTATCTGTCGTCACCGTGTGACCGTCTAGATTACTGCATAGTCGCAGCACCGCTCCCATTTCAACGTTTGGTTTCCGCCGATCCCCTGGAGCCTTCTCGGTGTATACCTCCAAATTCAGCGCGTAGGAGGTGGCGACATCACACGCTGCCCACACTTGCAGCCCGAACTTGGCAGACGTTTTGTGGAAGGATGTTTTGAACGAGCAGCGGCCCCGAAACGGGACCATCTGCTCATTCACGCAGATGTCCCTGCCGGGGTAAAACATCATCTGCAGGCGACTGTTCCACTTGATCCACACATCCTGGATCGGTGCGAGCTTGCTTCGATGATGACGTTGTGGCCGGTGCAACTTGTCGTCAAAGCGCAGGGCTCTGTTGATTTGGCTAAACATGAAGCTGGACATCGTTGCAGCGAATATCGGACGACCCAGTTCCTTGTCCCACAGGGTCATTAGAGACTCGTCTTTCAATTTGTACACTCCAGCTAAAATGAGAAGCCCTAAGTATGCACGGAGTTGCTGTGCGGTAATCTTGGACCAGCGCTTAATCGTTCTCTGCCCTTGTAAATTAGTCATTGCGACTATATGGTCAATAATTTCGTCGGTAAAAAATAAATTGAATGCGCCGACGGGGCTACTCATGCGGGCAATGGCGTACGAAGTTGGCCCGGGTTTGGGCAGTGTCGGAGGCACAAAGTGGCCGGCCACCTCGTGTGATGGAGACCAAATGATTTTTTTATTTTTAGATCGCCAAATGTTTTGTCCACTCACGTCTTCTCGCACATCATCTTGCACATTCTCGTCACCCAGATCCTCCTGCATGTCCTCTTCCTCCACATCGTCACCCAGTTCATCGTCATCAGAATTCTCGTCACCCAGATCCTCCTGCATGTCCTCTTCCTCCACATCGTCACCCGGTTCATCGTCGTCAGAATTCTCGTCACTCAGATCCTCCTGCATGTCCTCTTCCTCCACATCGTCACCCGGTTCATCGTCGTCAGAATTCTCGTCACTCAGATCCTCCTGCATGTCCTCTTCCTCCACATCGTCACCCGGTTCATCGTCGTCAGAATTCTCGTCACTCAGATCCTCCTGCATGTCCTCTTCCTTCACATCGTCACCCGGTTCATCGTTGTCAGAATCCTCTTCTGTTTTTCCCCCTTCTGCCAAGCAATCAGGAACAAAATCCTCATCAGAATAGTCCGAGGTGTCGGAGGAAAAAAAAATCCTCCGGCTCGGATGTTCCCTCCATAACCAAACGCAGCGCTTCATCGACTGAGAATTTCCTTTCCATTCTGCACAAGTCAGTGTTGGTAGGTAACAGTCACTGGGGCAACTACCCAGCCCCCTATATACATTTCGCCGAAGAGGTCACGATCGAATTGGCCAAACAGCCGACCAATAATAGTTGAGAATCGAACAAGTTTTTATTTGAATTATGCGCCTTTCCCACGGCTTTCTTTCAGATCTTTACCTTTGAAGCAGCACCCTGGTGAACACGCCCACAAGTGCTTTGGCCATGCCAAGAGGCACACACGCAAGTTCACGACACTTGATTTTGCAACCACAAGGTCCGCACGACAATTGTTTTGCATTGTTTTGCAGAAGTTTCTGCAAAGCAATGCAAAACAATTGTTGCTCGCGTGCATGCCATCCACGCGTGCTGTGCGGCCACATGGTGTCCAATACCAGCAATCACCGTCAAGCTTCAAGGGACTGCGGTCAGCAGGCAAAATTATTATTTGGGCTTTGGCGCCACCAGCTGGTGTAGTGGTTTAAACACTCAACAAAAATTTTTACTTCGCACAATTTTTACTTTACTTCGTGGAGTCAATTGTACAATTCCACGGCACTGAACAGACAAATACCAAAATCCCGGGAAATGCATTGAAATACACCATGTTTATGATATCTCAACTCAACTGTATTTATATAGCACTTTCAAACCTCAATAACTCGATTACTACTACACTATACTGTACTAAAATTACTACTATATATCAAAGATTATGAATTAGGCGTAGAAAAAAAAGTAGTGTGTTTCCGGTAACATTAAATTTCAGCATTGGGTCGGTAGGTCGGACAAAGTTTTTTTTTAATCCCCCCCCCTCTCGGCGAGAGAGTTGGGTACCCGGCAACTGGGTGTTACAGCCATCTCATTACCTCTGCGTCCTGCGTCCTTGACGCATAATTTTCCCACGGGACGCGCAGTTCTAAATAATGTGCGTTTTTGGGACGCAAGGAAATTTCTCAGTCAAAACAAAACAAAACAAAAAAAAAAAACTACGGCAAGCCTGACGATTTCACGGTAACAATAGTTACCGGTAGCGTGTCGTTTCCGTGGCGTCATTTTAACGGTACCGAAAAATAGTTTAACCATGAAAGTGACCGCACACGACTTGACTGTGTGATCAACGCGATTTCATGTGCCTCTATGTGTGTTTGTGGTGTGGTGTGTGAGTGTGTTTCTTCGAATTTAGTTTCGTTTCGTTTTGTTTTCAGTGTTGGGGGGGACGCAACAGATAACGTTATGTGCGCATGCGGGTTGCTATTTTAGTCTGCAAACTGAGAAATCGCGCGGATGAAAGTTTGAGATGGCGGCGAAAGAACCTCACAAAGGTCTACTAATTACGGCATTTAAGAAATGGGAATGCCAGTCTGATTTTTCGTATGAATCATCCAAAGGGCGTATCACTAAACTCACTTGGGCCGTATGCACAGAACACGAGAGCGAGATTCGACGAGAGGCACGATTACGAGGCAAGTTGGTCATTAGATTTGTAGGCTAATCGCTATGAAAAATATTATGAAACAGTATTGGTTATTCTATAATTTACTGGTTGTAGCATGGTACCTTTATGAATAAAACATTCGTCACAAGGTGTAGTAATGCTAATGTTAACTGTTGGTAGAACTAATGATGACGTTGTAAATTAGTCATTGCGACGAAAAAAATGCCGACCGTAAAGTTTTTTTTCGAGGTATAAATTCTCGGTCGGTCGGGTTACCAGAAACGCACTACTTTTTTTTCTACGCTTTATAATGGATGTCTATACGTCCAACTCATGTACATAGCATGTGTTGAAGAAAGTATGTGGTTGGCTCCCAAATGCAATAACATATAAATCACAACATAATGCCATTTTGAACATCTACATGTTTTCACGACCCGGAGGAAATTTGAGCTCCCAAGTGTTTACTTTTCAATGCTCTCTCTTTGATTGACAATACAAAACACATGAAAATGTACATAATATGTACCTGCAGGCCACGAAACTGAAGTGTCGCGCTCTCCTCTGATGCTGACGTCTTCTTCCTCATTCGGTTCAAGTTTAACAACCACCTTGGCCACAGCAGCAGTTGTGGGAAGGACGCCGTCTGCACCAAAATCTAGCACGCTGCGGCCGGACTCAGACGGCGGCTTTGACTCTGCCTCCGCTTCCTTGGAGTAGCTGCCCGAATCCCTGCATTCGTTGTCTTGTAGCAGTGCAGTGCTGTCGCTTGCAGCAAAGGCCTCGGCTGTGAATGCGCAGACAGACTTGACTTTTATGAGTTTGTTGCTCATATACATTTTGTAACTGCAATACACATTTTGTTCATTGTTTCAGTAAATATCTTGAACTTCAAGTAAGTGACCAAGATCAACTATGCACTCACTAGGTTTGGGCATTATGAGGAACTACTTCAATTTGATTTTGATTCTGCATGGGAGCCTGCGCAGAATTGTGTGCAGTTGGTAGAGAGCGCACTCGAACCAGGAGGGATGGAGAAATCAAAACACTTAACCAGTGAGGACTGCTTTTGGGGAAGAAAATCTTCCACAAGGACTAGAGCAGTGGTTCTTAAACTGGGTTCGATCGAACCCAGGTGTTCGGTGAGTTGGTCTCAGGGGCTCGTCGGAGCCTCTGCCATGGAGAGGGTAAGACACATGCGACTCAACATGTTAATTAGTTATGACACGCCCCACTTGGCCATCACTGGCTGCAGATGATCACATGACATTGCTTGTCCAATCAGTGCTGTGGGAAATGTAGTTCGCTCAGTAGTCAAGTGTGATTGTCGTGTTGGTAGTCGTACAATTAAAAAAAAAATAAAAGTACAGTAAATATTCCCATCCCCGGAATTCTATGAAAAGGAATTTCCTTCACCCGGAACAAAAACCTATGCATTAACATTTTGACTACGATATTACATGTTACCGAAACTTAATAAGCGGAAATTCCACTACCCGTAACCCGGATGGAGATGTCATGCCGTGGGAGCTGAAATACATGCAACGCCCACCCGTTGCTACGGAAAGACACGTTTTCATTTCGCATTTTTCGATCATCAGATCAGAAACGACGACGTGTAAGTGACTTTTTATTGGCGTTTCACTCTAATTTCGAAAGATTTTAACTTTATTCACTTATGTCCAATTTCGAAAGATTTTAACTTTATTCACTTACGTTCCGTCGATCGCCGGCACTATCTTAAAAAGCAGCGCCCACTACACACGACGGAGGAACCGTGCACTTCGCCGTTTTCATTCATCAGATCCGAAACGACGACGTGTAAGTGACTTTTTATTGGCGTGCGTTTTATTGTGATTGTGAATGATTTTAACTTTATTCACTTACGTTCCGTCGATCGCCGGCACTATCTTAAAAAGCAGCGCCCACTACACACGACGGAGGAACCGTGCACTTCGCCGTTTTCATTCATCAGATTTGAAACGACGACGTGTAAGTGACTTTTTATTGCCGTGCGTTTTACTATAATTGCGAAAAAAATTTAACTTTATTCACTTGCGTCCTGTAGATCA